TATTCATTTGGAATCATCATGGTAGAAATGACAACTGAACTGAGACCTTTTAGTAGTCATGAATTTGATCAAAACCACCTATTGCATTCACTGGAATACAAGTAAGTTTATAACAAGATATTTACCACAATTAATGATGAAACACATAATAATCTAAATACAAACTAATTCAACCTTAATACATATTAATAACTGTGTATTATATTAGAAATCCTGTAGTCTCCATAGGATGATACCAGAATAATTTATTGAAAAAATTAAATACGTAGCGGAGCAATTGGAAATTAAAAAACATCAGAAAAAAAAAATGAGATGGCGGGTATTGCAAAACAAAAATTTAACTTTGTTGGCCTTAGTCAACTAAAGAATATAAACTAATTCTAATTCTTACTAGTGATTTTTTCTGTAAGCTATATTCATTCTACGGGCTCCAATACTTCTTCACACCATCATTTGAATAAAGAGTGGTTTCGTCTTGGGTGACAGGAACTATTTCGAGATAAAGTTCCGGTGGGATACGGTTTAATTCTACACCTTCATATGAGGCCATTTGTTTTCATAATTCAGCTATCTTTTGGAGAAAACGATTTCTGGATTCCACCACATCTTCACGTTCGTGACCATCAAAATAGATTTTTTTTTAATGGGTTTGGTATTTCCATCCAAGTAATTTTAGCCATCTGCACACAGTTGATCTACTAATGATTGTTTTATGTATGATTCCAAAAGTAGGCATAATACTACTGACGTGGCTTATAAATTCTGGAATGGCCAATTTAAATTTATTTTCCTCCAAATACTGATTTATTTGAAGCTGAAAACTTTTATTATGTATTAAAGTTTTCGTTTTTTATATCGGCCACATTTTGACTTTACTAATTCTTTGCTATTCTTCCATTGATTTGCCCAGGCATGAATATACTGCGCATGCCATGGGCTTTTACCTAAACTCTTAGACAGAAGGCTACTCGCCCCCATCTTTGTGTGCCCTTTCTGAACCAGATTAAGATATTGCCTTGTTGTATTAAGGCATAGATCGACAGATCCCATTCTCAATTGTGCGTTTAGTGATGATAATATAGAATTATCACTACTAGCACTACTATCAAGGGATGAACTATCAACTGTAGGCTGATTTTTGTTGATAGAATCAAGTATTATAGGTTTGTTATTTTTGTGGGAAGAAGCATTGGCTGATTCAACGTGTTGCGAGGAAGATTTATTTTTTCAATATTCGGTAATGGCTTTTCGGAACTGTGTTTTGTGTTTACTTTATTTTAGCATTTTCAGAGGTATGTATCGAAAAAGTTAAATAAAAAATATAATCAGATCAAGTCTTCTTACATACGTATTTATAACTAATACGTATATTGATATTGTCTAGGGAATCAATCAATCTTGATTGATATTGAATATACGTACATATGTTAGTTACGTATTTGAACGAAATCTACCCAAAGCCAGTTTCAGGTGCATACCGTATCTTTGTATAATAATGCCCACCTGCGTATCATTTCGAAGCCATGCATGTTATTTCGAATTATACGTACGATTTTTGAAATAATGCTCATTGGCATTATTATGCGAAAATACGGTATACATACTACGTATTGAGGCAGGATGAGATCTTGAAGAAAATATAAATGGATATTGTTCATTATACCAGTGGATTGGCTATCTCTGTACGCCAACTATAACAAGGGTATTGTCCAGCACTGACTTCAATAAAGTCCGCAAATGGGGCCAATGGAGCTCTAAATAGAACCAATGAATGCTATTCATTAGCCCTATTTGCAGGCTCCATTGAAGCAATGAAAAATTTAATTATGCAGAAAGTTTTATATACGAGACCTGGGTCTGTTCATTCCACCAATTTTTAAACCCTTTAGTAGACCGGATCTACGTAGTACTCACCCAGAGGTTATATATAAGATGGGTTTTATGTGCATTTTATCTCATCTAAATTTTATAAGTATACGTATGAAAATTAAATTATATATAATTTAGGCCAGAGAGCATATTTTCGGGCAGAATTAAGAAATATGGATGCAAAATTCTCGAAAAATTCTGAAAAGAAAATGAATGAGCATAAAAGAAGAGCAAGATTTGGTAAAAATTTAAGCACATATCTGATATTCTCTGAAGGGAAAATATAAATTCCAAAAATTATATATATCATGCACATTTTACGTATAATTCTTGAATTATGAACTCCAACACGGTTGGCCACACTAGTCGAAATTTTTTTATATGATAGGACGATATGAAGGTGATATATAAAAAAACAACCAACCAAAAATCGGCTATAAAATATAAAACTAGTCAATAAAATCTTACAAATATCGGCCTACCGATATTATGATGATTAATAAAATATTAAATAGTAATTCAAAGAAAAGAAGATAGAAAGGCGATACGATTAAACAATA